ATTTTTGGAGATCCAAAGTGAATTTTATATCATTCTGTTTGCTTGATATTTCCCCAATCTTTAATTGTATTGGTCAATGGGACGGTTGAATGTTCAAGGTCACATACGCGTGACCCCCACTCCTTTCAGCCCCACCCACAGCACCGCCCACATCACTTTCGCCCCGCCCATCATCGAAATATAATCAATGATTTCGTTCTCTTGAAAAAGAGAACGATCGCGACGCAACTGTGACGTCCGAACCCACGAGCTTCAACTTTATTGCTCTCCGGACTCATATTTCGGTTTTACACTCGTGTCAGGTGTTACGTAACATTAAGACCGTGCATCGTGTGTCCTTAACCTTTTCTATTTTACGCGCGAAGCCTCGCGAGCCGGTCTCGCATCCCTGGCCACGGGGAAAATGTGCAAGTGCAGCGTGTCACCGTTTAGTCGTTAACCAAAAGGTAAAATTAGATTTTCCAATGTTTTTCGTTGAAATTTAACGACCTTTTCTACGATTCCTGACTTTCCTCGCTGACATCAGTTTTTCATTAACCCCTTGACCTATAACGAGCTAGACTCGTGGTGAGGATTTTCAACGTGATTCAACGAATATATGTGTTACTCGGTTCATTCGAAATCAAAGTGAATATTTTCCTTAGTACAAAATTCGAATGTGTGGAAAATCGAATAATTTTAGGGTAGTTTCTTTAAGATTCATTAAAATATGTAATATTATAACTGGGGCAATATTGGAGCCTACAGAGTTCAAAAGGTTAATGACAAAGCAGCCGTATCGACCAGAGTTGAGAAATACATCATATGCCAAGGGGTTGATAATTTAACTTCTCGCACTATGAAGTCAACTTTGAGGCGACAACACTGTAACACCATCCTTAAACTAAATATTCGTACCTATGACACTATGCGTTCTTTGTTAATTGGTTCGTACCAAAGTCTAAAGTTCCAATAATTTCAAGCAGTTAGATTAACAATTATCCAAAGATTAACTATAGAACATTAATACACGTCAGATCAATAGATAAAATCAATGAAATAAAGCAAATATGAGAGAATAGGAAAATAACCTTCGATTTCAAATCAAATGAATGCAACGACATTCGCTAATTTCTATACGAGATCGTTCGGAACTGGTTCGACATCATGTTACAAATTGATGGGTTAATTCGGCGTTAATGTGCCCTGTTCCCGTAACGTGGCATCGTTCCATGATTCTCCGACTTTTCCAGCCAGCCGATCGAGCACGAACATTCGCGAAGCCGTAACTCGAGGCGAATAAAATTAATGCAATAAAGATTTCGCAACGATAATACGCTGCAATACGGTTCACACTATACATGCCATAAGGTTGGGCGAGTAAAGGTTAGGGGTGGCTGCAGCGACAACTGAAACGTACAGTGCAACTCGAGGAATATCAGCTAAATAACTACCAACGAGAACGAAATTCGTACGAGATGAGGCGATCTCTTTGATCATTTGATTAACTCGTTAATTATCGCATCGTTCGAGTCCAGGTACACGATTTTCCATATACATTCGAAAACTAGGTTCCTCGATACTCGAAATACGAATCTCCAAAGAGATTAACCTTTCCAAATCGAGAAGAAATCGCCATTTTTCCTTAACACTAGAACTACCGTCAAAATGGCTGGCTTCAGTTTTTGTTCCGCGATTATCTTCAAAGCATTGAATATTCGAAATGATTTTGAAAATAGTTTCACTGAATACTACAATGAATGCCTGAAGAAACCGAAAATAATCTACTACAATATTCATAGCGATTTCAATCGTATCAAATGCTCGGTAGTTCTAGTGTTAAGCTCTTTTCACGAGAGCTACTCAAATCACAAATTCAAAAGAAACCTCGGTTTTCTCAAACATTTTGCAACTTTTTATACAACGTACGAGTATTAGAGAAGTGAATGGTACGAAAAATCGCGATATTTCGCGTCTCTGGAACTTCGATGACCGCCGATTCAGCGATCAACGCGCCGGTCGTATTGGTACGGCGTGTCGACGCCTTCTCTGAATACCTGTTCTCGCGCGTAAGTATGCAAGTACTTACTTGTATTTGGTAATTCCGTTTGTGTCGTGTTTACCACGGAACGGCACACGAATTCCCCGATACTTTTTCCTGCGAATTTAATTGGGTTAACGATTTTCGTCCGCGGCGAGCTCGTCGATGGGCGAACGCTGGGGACCGAGTTAGGCCGTAATTCGAAAACACCGACATAATGGAGGCCGGTTGATGTTATTTGCGAAGTTCACCGGGCACTCGTTTTTTCCTTCGCTGCTTTCCAACGTTGCTCGCGGTTTCCACGGCGCATTTATCGACGAGTCGGCCGCGCGCGCGGCCGGTCAACTCGAGAAACACGGCGAACGGCACGGGAAAAATTTGCATATTCGTAACTCGTTATCAGCCGGCGAGGATCTGCTGAGAATTATTCGACGCGAATTCAACTAGAACTTTGTCGGCACTTTTCCGATAGAATTCCGCGCTTTTCGCGGTCCCGTTGTTTTCTGCGATTGGGGAGGACACTGGAGGGAATACTAACGGTATGATCTAATTAACGATAGTTTTGATTAATGGTGGAATACCAGGTGATGGGAAGAAGAGACAAAAACCTAGGTTTATATGTTTCTATGTACAATTGAATTTTTTTTTCAACCTTTGAACTTTTCAAGCTTGTACATTCAGTTTTGTTCTTTGACGCTTTGTCATGTCACTCGAAGGGTGACACCATTTTTAACCCTTTGCGGAAGATTCTTCGAAATATACGAAACCTCCAGATGAAGTTAAATTATACATCGATTGCTCAACACTAGAACTACCGAGCATTTAATATGATTGATGTGTAATTTGTATAGAAATTGTAACAATAGATTATTTTCAGTTTCTTTGGATATTCATCATAGTACTCAAGTGAAACTATTTCAAAACTAAATCGAAACCAGTCATTTTGTACGGTAGCTCTATTGTTAAATAATAGAAAGGAAGGAAATTATACACTGATCTCTTGCTGTTTGAGTAATTGAATCATTTGTTTGCGAGTTACTCTTCCAAATATGGGCATTTGATCTAAATCTAAGTTAACGTAATCTTGAACATTCATTTTCTTAGTATCGAACGAAAGTTCTATGAAGAATCTTTGGTTTCTTTATTAAGAAAACTGTTTCCATTGGAAGTTTCGATGGTAATTAACTTGACACTCAAAGTAATAGTTACATTTATTAGTAATGATTCCTAATTAATTTCTATAATAGTAATAATTCAACTATTCATCCACAATAATTCGAGTATCCCATCAATTTCCTATTCTGCTGTATTTCAGCTTCTGAATTTTCAAAGGACATTAAGAATATTAAATTCCACAGTATAGATCAGACTCGAAGGGGTTAAAATCAATTGTCAGTCACGTCCGTAGAGTATACTTAAGATCCAGGTTCCAACGCGATCATCCGCGACCCTGAGGAGCAGGTACGAGCGGTCGGAGATCCCGTCCCGTGGATCTTCGAAGAGTAAGAACTTGTTCGGATTCGCTGAACGCTGGCCTCTCTCGGTAATTACATTAACCCGAGAGAGAGAGATGGACAAAGTGGGAGGCTGAACGGCGGACGGAGACACGTGATAGAAATAAAAAGTGAAAGAGCTTACTGGCTCGCCGGAGAGAAGGATAAAGACAAACGTGTGCTGTCCTTAGGGGGGAAGCCCCATTGTGCTCACGTTTGCCTTCTCTGTCTTCAACAGGGTATACGTCTATGTTTCCAAGTATTTCCCCTCGCATCTTTGACTCTCTGGATATCTATTTATTAATCTTCATATATTCATATACTTGTTCGTGAAGCTATTCATATAAATAGATAGCTATGTGTCTGTTTAGGTAGCTAGGTATCTATCTAGGCAGTTCGCTAAGGGGATTTCTATTTAATAGGTAGATGTTGTCTTGATAGATAGATAAGTTGGTAGCTAGCTAAGTAGCTAGCTAGCTAAGTAACTATCTACGTTGGTAGTTAGCTAAGTAGCTAAATAGCTAGCTAGCTAAGTAACTATCTATCTAGGTAGTTAGCTAGGTAGCTAGCTAGATGAATAACTATCTATCTATTTAGCTAGCTAGGTAGTTAGCTAGCTAAGTAACTATCTATTTGTGTAGATAGTCAGTTAAGTAGCTATCTATCTAGCTAGCTAGCTAAGTAACTATCTACCTAGGTAGGTAGCTAAGTAGCTAAATAGCTAGCTAGCTAAGTAACTATCTATCTATTTAGCTAGGCAGCTAGCTATCTATTTAGCTAGGTAGCTAGCTAACTAAATAACTATCTATTTAGCTAGCTAGGTAGTAGACTAGCTAGCCAGCTAGCTAAGTAACTATCTATTTCTCTAAATACTCAGCTAAGCAACTATTTGTCTAGATAATCAGCTAAGCAGCTATCTACCAATCGAGATAATTAGCCAAGCTATCTATCCAACCATCCATCTAGCCAAACATCTCTATCTAACAATCTAGGTCTCTGCCCATTACTCCATCTACCTACATCTCTTCATCTAATTAACCAGCTACCCACTTACATATTAATTCCTCCACATCAACCACCTAGCTCTCCAAACATCCAATCATCCGTCTCCACCTCACTCTTCTCTTTCAACATCGCGCCAGGCGAACACTCTTCCAATCGT